GCAACCAACAGTTTGCCACAACAACCACAGTGTTTGCTGCATTGTTGCTTGGAAACATTTGCTGACTTGCTTTCTGGATAAAAGGCCTGTAATATGGATTCATTTATTTTGCATTTACTTGAATGCAAGCAAGCAAGAAAAGATCCATTAATGCACATTAATCAGACTTAAGAATGCATTAATAATATAGCAGGGAAAATATTAGTGTTCTAAGCAGTTATAAACACCCTCTATTGGTGTAGTGGCTTTCTGATTAATTGAAATGTTTGCGAGAATGTAATCTGACAGATTTTCTAGGTTATATAACTCCATTGGTCAGAGTAGCATATAATGGAATGTTCAGTCATGTTGTTAAAATCCACACATTCAGACTGCACTGTGGAGACCTGCTGTCTGCTTTTATTCCACTCATAAAATATTGTTGCCATACCACATAAACAAAATGACAGTAACTGCTCTCTTTTAAGCAGTTAACTTTTAACCAGTAATGCACTGCAACAGCTCAGTGCGGTTATTGGATTATTGAATTTACGTCAAGACTTTCCATTTATGTTTTTCAAATGCTTTTTTTTTTCATAAACCGAAGAGCCAAATATCCTTTTCCCACTTAAAGGGATATAAATTGAAAATTCAGACGGTTTACTCACCATCTGTTACGGGGCAAACAAGACGTGAGACATATGATCCATTTGCAAGCTTTATTAAGGGCGTGGTCAAATCAGGCGAGGGTCAGGCAATGGCAAACAGGTATAAAGAAGACAAAACAAGAGCAGTCCAGTAAACAAGCGAGGGTCAGTCGACGATGAACGTAATCCAACAGGGGCGAGACTAGAGGAATAATCCAGGTACAAAGCAAAGGTCCAGGCAGGGGCAAACAGTATCCAAACAGGGCAAGATGAGAGCGGTAATCCAAAGTACACAGGCAATGATAACAAAACGAGGAAACCGACATGGCAAGACTAGGCTAGACTAAGAAACTTAAAGCAGGCTCCGTAACATAACTATCACAACTAGCGATATGTGCATACAATACTCAGCAGCCTGAAAGGGATCTGAGTGAGTGTTATATAGTGAATGTGTGAATGGTTACAGCTGTGTGCAATCAGTGCAATGGATGATGGGATATGTAGTCCGGGATAACATGCAACAGTTTGTGTAGTGCGAGAGTCAATGTAATGGAAGGGTGACATCTGGTGGTGATGAACGGAAGTCCATGGACAGGATTCGTGACACCATCGTTCATTTCTCCATTGTTTTTTGGTCCCCATTGAATTTGTTATTGTATGGATAAAAACAGTTCTTCAATAATATTCAAAATTTTGGGCTCAGTAAGTTTATTTATTTATTTATTTGTTTGAAAGAAATTTATAAATAATTGATAAAAAGTGACATTCATAATGTATTTTCTGATATATAATAATCTGATAATAATTCTAATTAAAAAATTATATTTTACAAAATTATTAGTTTTACTTTATTTTTGATCAAATGCAGCTTTGGTGTGTGACTTCTTTCAGAAACATCTTACTGACCCCAAACTTTTGAAAGGTAGTGTATCTTATTTTGTGTTCCACAAAAGAAATAAAGTCATACAGCTTTGGAATGATATAAGGGTGAGTAAATGAATTTTCATTTTTGGGTGAACTGTTCCTTTATAATTGTGTGTAAATTCATTAGCTTGAAGAATCTGTGTCCTCAATGCAGAATTTTTTGAGAATGTCAAGTATTCAAGTATTTACAACAACATCACTAGAAAGCAAAACTGATCCAGGAATATTTTAGGCAGTTTTTTAGATTTTTGATGCAAAATGCAGCAAGTAAATGGATTATACCTTCTTGGCTGAGATATTTCTTTATTATTAAGACTTGTACAGACATACTGACCCAGATCACAATATTTGTAGTTTATAAAGAAAAAATAAAGCCATGCTAAAGGTTGAGGTTTGGTATGAAGCGATGGGACAGGCAGGGCCACAACACAACCTAACTGTACAGAGTTTTCTGGTAATGGCGAAGTCTTTCTCTTGCCCTGGAAACAGAATAACATAATTGGAAAGTTTGTAGTTCGGTCGGATATGTCAAAAAGAAGTAAGTAAAACAATGCACAAGTTACTTAATGGTAGGGAGGGAGGGCGAGAGAGCGCGCACTTCTGTTGTGTGATCTTTACTGATGTTCGCTCACTTAGCACGCATTATTTGGATTAAAACTAAATCGTAAATATAAGACAATTTATAGGGGCATTCACTATAAACGTCATTTATTTTTACCCTTAAGCATACACAACTTTCTGGCGAAAGTGACACTAACAGCCTGTGTGAAATGTGCTAGGCTGTACTGTACTTGCCCCTCTCATTCAGCACCAGTACAAATACGTAGTACTGGAAAAAGTGGTATCGGTGCATCCCTATAAAATAGAAAACATAAAAATTTTTAAATTGTAACAATATTTCACATTATTACTGTTTTTGCTATATTTTTGATCAAATAAATGCAGCCATAATGAGCATAAGGGACTTTTTTCATACATGTACATAAATCAATCTTTCCCACCCCAAACGTTTGAATTGTAATGTATCTCTTTTGTGTTCCACTAAAGAAAGTTAAATAGTTTGGATTGATTTGAAGTTAAATGATGAGTAAATGATGACAGAGTCTTTATTTTTGAGTGAACTATCCCTTTAAAGGGGTCATATGATGCGATTTCAAGTTTTCCTTTCTCTTTGGAGTGTTACAAGCTGATTGTGCAAAGATAAGATCCCTAAAGTTGCAAAGACTAAGGTCTCAAAACCAAAGAGATATTCTTTATCAAAGTTAAGACTCTGCCACACCCCCCTAAAACGGCTCGTTCTAACACGCCCCCACATATCTACCTCACTATGTGGAAATATTTGCATAATGCCGCCCAAATGTGCACGCAAAGAAAGAAGGCGTGGGTTCAGTAACCGCAGTTAGTGTTGAAGCAGCATGTCAGGGAGACACTGTGTGTTTCTAGGCAAAAGCAATAGCACTTTATTTGGCCTTCCGAAAGTAGATGCATTTAGGAATCTTTAAGATTACTTACAACAGAACAGCAATGCATTTTATGGACGACCGTTTCGTGAACCTAGGAGAGGAGGTAATTCTGACTTTGCTATGACAATCTGGCGCTTCTGAATCAGCTACTGTTTTGTTATTAGTTTAAGTATTAGCTGTTGACTGTTCAAAGGCAGAGTGTTGCGCATCGTGTGTGTGCGTGTGCGTGCGTGCGTGCGAGCGCACGTGAGAGAGAGAGAGCGAGAGCGAGAGAGACCAGCTTCATCACTGTATCTGTTACCTCTGTTCCCCTTTCGGGCTCTGTCTTTACATTTATTTTGAAAGATGAAGCTCGCGATTATGGTAAAGGTTGTTACATTTCCGATGAGTGCTTGCGGTGTTCAGCCAATCACAATGCACTGGGTCAGCTGGCCAATCAGAGCAGACTGCGCCTGTTGGAAGGAGGGACTTTGTAGAAAACGAAGCGTTTGAGAGAGGCGGGGCATAGAGGACCTACAATAATGTACAGAAATTTTAAAAAGAATTGTTTTTTGAACATTAAAGCATGTCAACATATTTTGTTACACCAAATACACAAAATAATGATCTTTAAAAAAGCATCATATGACCCCTTTAAAATTGTGTGTAAATCAAATAAAATGCCAAATGGACTGGCTTTTCATGAGTCTGTCTCTGCGAGAGTAACCTAGTAGTATTTTGAATAATATTTGATATTTGGTGGTTCTGATGATTTTGTCAGGTTGACATTAAAAAGCTTTTGATTTCAAAGTCAGCACAGCATTAAACATGCAATTATAGTCATTTACCACTCTGTTTTCCTCCTTCTTACCGGCCAGTTACATCCATGAAAAGGTCTTTATGCTGTTATTTTCCTGAAAGGGCATGTTTCCCCCCGTGTGGAGCAGATGTGTGAGATTGTGTACGTGTGTGTGTATGTGTACAGTATTTTTAAAAAGAATTGTTTTTTGAACATTAAAGCATGTCAACATATTTTGTTACACCAAATACACAAAATAATGATCTTTAAAAAAGCATCATATGACCCCTTTAAAATTGTGTGTAAATCAAATAAAATGCCAAATGGACTGGCTTTTCATGAGTCTGTCTCTGCGAGAGTAACCTAGTAGTATTTTGAATAATATTTGATATTTGGTGGTTCTGATGATTTTGTCAGGTTGACATTAAAAAGCTTTTGATTTCAAAGTCAGCACAGCATTAAACATGCAATTATAGTCATTTACCACTCTGTTTTCCTCCTTCTTACCGGCCAGTTACATCCATGAAAAGGTCTTTATGCTGTTATTTTCCTGAAAGGGCATGTTTCCCCCCGTGTGGAGCGGATGTGTGAGATTGTGTACGTGTGTGTGTATGTGATAGAAAGTTGCTGAGTGTGTGTGTGTGTGTGTGTGTGTAGGGTGGAGTGAAATGGCTACACGGCACAGTGTGTGTGTGGGTGTTTATTTCAGGCATTCAGTTAAGACAACAGGTTGCCTTCATGTAGAATGAGTAAGCAAGGAAGAGGGAGAGAGGAGGAGGCAAAATTAGAGTCCTCCCTCATATTATTTGAAATGCAAACAAATGTTGTCCCACTTTTTTTAGAACAGAAAGTCAGTGGATGTTTGTCCTTTTAAAACCCTCAAGGCTCCAATTATCTCTGAAAAATAGAAAATGTCCTTAAACACTTATGTTTTTCTTCTGTTGATAGTGCATTTCCTTCTTGTAAACAGCTATTGTTTATTTTTGCTCAAGGGAGTCCCCCCTTCTCTGTTCTCCTTTTGTTTCTTCAGTTTTATTTTTCTCATGAGTTGTACTGAAACAGGACTTTTGGATGGAATGTGACCAAACAATAGCACAGACAGAGATACTTGGGCAGGAGGCCAGGGTTTACTGGTTTCACCCATTGCTCAGGTTGAGCAGGGGTCACGGAAACGCTGATACGGAGAGATCAAGAGAAAGAGGGTGAATAATGAGCACAATCCAGATCCAGATCAGAGAGGTGTGAACAGCCACCTGACTGATTCAGATTAAGCTCCACTTCACTTTTCAGTTACAGTCAGTCCAGTAGATTGGTCAGGTTGATTTTGCATTAAACTAAGATGTATTGCTCTGAAAATAAGCAGTCAATGACATGACTTTTTTTGTCCTGATCAAGTAATGTATAGATGTAAATTAATTACATTACTAATGATCAAATAATTTTTTTTTGGTATGTAGCAAACAAGTACACACTTGCACATGCTTTTGTTGCACTCTTCCTTCTGAGTTTCTGTATTTCCCATCTTATGTCCACATCCTCCTCTTAGGCATGTGACCCCACTGTCACGCTCTTAATTGAGAGTCATTATACAATTACCTACATGTAAGCTGATGACAGCTTAAGTTTTCACTTTATATGCCTATATTCGATTATAACTACTTAACTTGTTTATAGATATCATGTTTTACATGCGACAGTCTGTCAGGCAGCACTGCATTAAGTTACAGGAATCATGCAGAGCTAATTTTAGCCATGTAACTTACTTCAGTGATGCCCTGAACTGCCTCTTACCCATACATACTCAAATTGCAAATTTATGCAATTGGCACTACATGTTTACCTGAAGTTGCTTATACTAATTGACTCACTATACAATATTAGACATTCTTTTGTTTATATATGCCAAGTAATATAAATAATATATGTACATATTTTAAATCAGCATAAAATATATATATATACTGTATATATATATATACTTTATATATATATAAAGTGTAATATGTTAAATATTTTAGATAATAGCTGTATTTGCATTAGAAAATGTATATTAAATTACATTTATTTTTCTTAAAACATTGACCCATTTTTGCATGTTTTAAAGATAAAGTTTTGTTTTGTTAAACTTATCTCTTTTTCTCCACAGTATACTTTCTGGAATTTTATACCGAAGAATCTCTTTGAGCAGTTCAGAAGAATCGCCAATTTCTATTTTCTGATCATCTTTCTAGTGCAGGTTTGTGATGGTGTCTCTTATGAAAATTGTCCTATTAGCGTGAGCTGACCTTTCTGTGACAGCATGATGTGTGATATTTCCCTCTCACCATCTTTCTCTGTAGCTGATCATTGACACACCTACCAGTCCTATGACCAGCGGTCTGCCTCTTTTCTTTGTCATCACTGTCACAGCCATTAAACAGGTGAGAAAAGACCGCTAACTTTCCTCTCTAATAGGTGTCATTATTAAGTCACTCCTTCACTGGTCTCTCTCTGCTTGTACCTCTAAATCTCTGCAGGGCTATGAGGACTGGATCAGGCACAAAGCGGACAACGCTGTAAACCAGTGTCCAGTCCACGTCACCCAGCATGGCAAAGTCGTACGCAAACAGAGTCAAAAGCTACGGGTGCGTGAGCACATAGAATGAGTATAAAATCTGGGGCTCACACCATATAGATTAGTGAATTGTGCCATTAGCACCAACACATGGATTTGAAAAGCACGAATGTTTTCAAACAGGTTTCCCTGAACAGTTCTCTTTGTTTTCCATTGGTGAAACAAACTTATACCATTGGTTGGGCTGCTCATGACACTTAAATGAATAGCAGTGTTTTGAAAGTCCCACAGTGTTTGTATTTTTGTGAAATCAACTTATTAATGGCTTAATATCTATGCAAATTAACCTGGCATTGGTGAAAATAGTTTAATGCTAAAAAATGCAAATTTCAGCTCTGAAAATGTGTGTTTTTTTATTATTATTCTCAGAGAAATAAATCAAAGTTTCGCTCTACTAACCAGCTTTCTGCTTACACAGCCAGCTTTCTGTTTGGAAACAGAATGTTGTCATGTCAACAAGCAGAATGACAGTGTACCCACGTAACCCACAAAGCACTGGGAATCTTTTGTTATTTAATTGTGAAACTATTGCTCTCTCACTCTCTTTCAATATAGAATATAAAATGTTATATAAAACTTGAAAAGCACAGTGAAAAACACTGGAAGCTGTGATGATAAAGAGAGAATGTGCTTGAATACTTACCATTACAGCTTTTCATACTGATAATCCGGTCAGCATGTGTAATCCGTTACACAACACATGCAGACAGGCCAGCGGGAACAACTACCAGGATCAGGATTTTAATTTTTTTAGATTCATGAATATGTTTTTTTTTTACGTAAGAGTCAACTCATCTAAAGTTGATTTGTTGATAATTGTGTCACACAGTTATATTATATATTACTTTATTCAATCACTCTGTCAGGGAACATACTGAAATCATTATAATCATTATTAATCTGTATTTAGGTCAGTTCAGAAGTATATTTAGATATTCGTAACACAAGATGACCAAGAAAAGATGAACACTTGATGACCCGTTCTTAAAGCAACACTATGTAACTTTTGGTGCTCTAGCGGTTAATAAACAGAACTGTACGCATCCCGCGGAAGAACATTCTAACCGGAGCTACTTCTCCAAGTTTATGTCTATGATGATTCACGCGGGTATGTGTTACATCTTTAAAAAAGCATCATATGACCCCTTTAAAGTCACAGTGTGTATTTTCTGCACCACTAGTGGTAACAAATGGAATTGCAGTTTGTTTCAGTGTCCTGAGGTAGCAACATTTGCTCAACCAGTGGTGTGAGTTTGGTGCAGGATTGTTGGTTTTGTCCAAACAATGGTTGTTGGAGACTGTTTGGAATCAGTCATAAGTTTTGCAGTTGGTATGATGTTGCTAGTGACACAAATTATACTCTTCACCTATAAGTATAAACCAAGAGAGATTTTAACAAACTTTTTCCTACTTATAAAACTACAGCACAATATAAAATATTCTCACTTTTGGTTTCTTCAGGTTGTTATTTGATTCAAACTGTTACTGTTAATGTTGAATTTGACTCTTTCTTGTCCTTCAACCTTTCAGGTGGGTGATATTGTCCAGGTGAAGGAGGATGAGACGTTTCCATGTGACCTCATACTGCTCTCCACCAGTAGAGAAGATGGAACATGTTTTGTCACAACAGCCAGCTTAGATGGAGAGTCCAGCCATAAGGTGATTGGTCATTTTATAGCAAGGCAAATATTACTGTTATTATTCCTAAAACCTAACATTAGGGGTTTATTCTAAACTGTTATATTGTGACTGAAATGTCTTGGCCGGACTATATAGCACACTGCCAGTAATTCTTATTAGATGGGAGAGGGAATAGAAGTTTTTGACCTTGGAATGCCTACTAGGTTTCTCTTGTGCTCTCCTCTCTATACAAAGACCTATTATGCAGTTCAGGACACAAAGGCATTCAACACAGCAGAGGAGGTGGACACACTGCACTCTACGATAGAATGTGAACAACCCCAGCCAGACCTCTACAAGTGAGTATTACACACATATATCAGCAGTAAACACATAAACAAATGCTCTATCTTACAAACACTCACTATGCATAGAACTACTGTTGGACTGGCACAACAGCATGTCACACACTCCAGATACCCCACTTAACTACACATACACACATTGATATAGAGCCCAGACTAGACATGAATTTCTTTCTTTTTCTCCTCTTCTGCTGTAGATTTGTGGGACGCATCAATATTTATTTGGATCGAGACGAGCCCATCGCGAGGTAAATCTATACTCAGGAAATTGACTCTTAATTAAGGGGCTAGTGTGTGAAAGATTGAATTCAGGAGGGACACTTTATCATGTTCATTGAACAAGTCTTGATGATTGGGTGAGTGGTCAGTGATGAGTGGGTCATGATGATTATGATGTTTTTTGATGTATAAATCTTGAAAGTGGACCATAGAGAACGGTACAAAATAAAAAACAATTCATTACCACTTTAAAATAGTCCTGCAAGTGTGACAGATGAATTTGCAGTACAATACATACACACAGAGTGTAAAAAGATGTGAGCATAACTTTTTTGTAATCCTGCATTTGACCTGTTTGATTATTTTAGACCCCTGGGTTCTGAGAACCTGCTGCTGCGTGGAGCCACACTGAAAAACACTGAATACATACATGGTAATAAATAACAACACTTTGTATTTACATTTCATTTATGTGCATACACATTATTTATCTTTGCAGTCCATTTTTGTGCTCATTCCATTCTTACTGATGTCAGTGATGCTAAGATCCATCACTATAACCTGGTACAATGCTTATGTGATTTTTTTTAGGCAATAGGAAGGGCAGGAGAACGAGAGGAAAGTTGCTGATTGAGTCGTTCTGTCACTCTGTTCCCACTGTAATTAAATGAGTCACTGAGGCTTGTGAGATCAGAAAGAAGTTCTTAATTGCTAGAGCGAGAGAGAAAGGGCGAGAGAGAGAGATGAATGTCACATTATACACGTGAGGATTCTAAGAGCAGGGCAAGCTCTAAAATTGTTTTAACTTTGTTACAGCGGAGCTATTATGACATAATAGCACCGTACAGTAGAACAAAAAGAGCTCAGTTATGTAACAGTGGCTTTTACATGATCAAAGCATCAAAGAGGCTGTACAGAGATGGTCATAGAGGGGAATTACAATCTCACAATGCTCTATTTCCTGTTTGTTTCTCTAGCTGTGGTCATCTATACGGGCATGGAAACCAAGATGGCCCTCAACTACCAGTCCAAGTCTCAGAAACGCTCCGCTGTTGAAAAGTAAGACACGGTGATAGGCTTTCGATCAGTTTATCTTGCTGTCAGCATGTACAGGGTAATACATTTAGTGTGCTTGTTTGTAAAGCAAATTGCGGGCTTCTGTATTTGATGTCACAAATGGTATCAAGTTGCACTCACATGTGTCTCGCTGACAATTCTGTCAGACAGATAGATGCAGCCATTAAGAAAACCATATAAAATATGTTTATATTGAACAAGCAGGTGTACTTTCAGAATCTGCTTTCAGAGTTCGGATAACATTGACTTTTTCAATCAAATAAATGTTTTTTTATACCATAAGTTAATATTATAGATGTCATTCAGACAAAATATTTTTTTTTTCTGAAAAAGGATATGGGTGATTAAACTCACAGACCCTCAGGGAAAGTTACTGCGGTTAGATCTTGTCACCCTGATGAATGATATGTGTCTTTGCCATTAGGTCCAAAAATGATTATGCTCAGTCTGGGATCATTTAATCACTTTTTGTCCTTTTGCAGGTCTATGAACGCCTACCTGATCGTGTACCTCTGCATTCTGATCAGTAAAGCTCTGATCAATACTGTCCTGAAGTATGTCTGGCAAGCCAACCCAAACCGAGATGAGCCCTGGTACAACCAGAAAACTGAGACTGAGAGGCAACGGCATGTAGTACGTGCTATAAAACTATGCTTTTTATTATAATAGTTTTTTTTTTTTTTTTTTTTTTATAATTTTTTTAACATTTAATTTTTAATAATTTATTGTTACTTTTATATTTGTTATATATGTATTGTTTTATTTTATAAAAAAATGAAGATAGTTAAAAAATGTATTATTCAAAATGAAAAAGTAATTGAGCTTTTTTAGAGTGACAAAATAAAATAGTGAGTAAATATTTATATATTTGTTTTTATTAAATATGTTATTATATTAATGTTTTTATTAAAATTTATTTATTTGGTACTACATTTATATACTACTTATACATAAAAAGATATGTTTCTTGAGCAGCAAATCAACATATTAGATTTCTGAAGAATTATGTGACACTGAATGTGAATTCAGCTTTGCATCACAGGAATAATAACTTTATAGTAATAATATTAATAATGTTTTAAAATATATTAAAATGGAAATGGTAATAATATTTCAAAATATTAGTTTTTTATTGTACTTTTGATCAAATAAATGCAGCCTCAGTGAGCATAAGAGACATCTTTCGAAAACATAAAAAATCTTAATTATTCCAAATTTTGACCTACATTGTATATACTAACTATATTTTATGCTATCATATCATTAACACAATCAAATAAAAAACAATTGCACAAACTCACACTATTTAATTCTCTGCATTTTATCCCTTCAGTTAATCCGGGCATTCACAGATTTCCTTGCCTTCATGGTTCTGTTCAACTACATCATTCCTGTGTCCATGTATGTGACTGTGGAGATGCAGAAGTTCCTTGGCTCGTACTTCATCCTGTGGGACGATGACATGTTTGATGAGGAGCTCGGAGAGGGACCGCTCGTCAATACCTCAGATCTTAATGAAGAACTTGGACAGGTAGGAAACCTTTTCAGTCCACTCCAAAACTGCTCCCTGGGTCATTATTGGTTCACTGTCTCTCTTCTTTTTCCATCACAGGTGGAATATGTCTTCACAGACAAGACTGGCACTTTGACAGAAAACAACATGGAGTTGAGGGAGTGTTGTGTGGATGGGCATGTTTATGTGCCACATGCCATCTGTAACGGGCAGATTCTACCTGGAGCTGCTGGAATGGATATGATCGACTCCTCTCCGGGCCTAGATGGAAAGGTGAGCTTGTTGTTTGTGCATAACCGCTGTAAAATTGCAGTGAATATTTTATTCATCAAGCAAAAGTGACAGGAAATACTTTTATAATCTTACAAAAGGCTTCTATTTCAAATAAATACAATCCTTTTGATTTTGAGAAAAAAATGTATCATAGTTTTCACAAAATTATTTAGCAGCACAACATTGATAATAAAATGTTTCTTGAACAGCAGATCAGCATATTTGAATGATTTCTGAAGGAAATCAAGTGACACTGAAGACTGGAGTAATGATGCTGAAAATTCAGCTTTGCCATCACATTAAATTACATTTTAAAATATATTCAAATAGAAAACACTTATTTTAAAATAAAAATATTTTAAATACTTAAAAATGCT